CTGCGTCGAAAATTCTGCAGTAAATAGTTAGCATATAGAAACATACAGTCACACATACTTACAATCATACAAGGAACGTGTCAGTGCTTTATTTAATTGTCACCAAGAGAACGAGTGGCCTAAAAAAATGAGAAAAGCCTAAATCGTGGAATTCAGAAGGAAAAATTGTTTGAAAGAAATTCGAAAAAAAAAATATCAAAAAGCGCAACAAAATTATGCGCTCATAGAAGTGAAGAGAAGAAGAGAGGAGAAATGAGAAGTGTGTTGGGAATATAAAGGGTTTTGCAGACTTTTGGTGGCTGGCGACCAAATTTTGCTACTGAAAATGCCAACTTTTGTTATTCATTTAATAACGAAGGCGTTCCTGCGAACAGCAAATTAAAATCGTTGAGAAAATTAAGGTTAAAAAATAAAACTAGCAGCAAATTTGAATACATTAAAAAGAAATAATATGTAAAAAATAAAAAACTAGCAAATATTAAGATAAAGTTAAAACAGAAATTCAAGAAATTAAAAAAAAATTTCAAAAAATAAAAAAAAAAAAAGAAAGAATTAAAATTTATATAAAATTAACACAAAATAACACCAAATATTTGATAATGAATAATGAAAAAAAAAATAATGAATGATGAAAAATATAAAAAGGAAATAATAAAAAATTTTAAATACTGAGAAAAATCCAAAAATATTAAGAAAATAAAAAACTTAAAACAATTAAATTAAAAAAATAAAAAAGATTAGAAAAGTAAGAAATGTAAAAAGAATAAAAAAGAAAAAAAAATATAATAAACAAAAAACGAAATAAAAACATGAAAAAATATAGAAAAAAAAGAAAAATATACAGAATAAAAAAAAAACATAAAAAAAGTAAAATAAAAAAATAAAAAATAAAATAAAATAAAATAAAAAAAATAAAAATATATAAAAGGCAAAGCTAGATAATAAAAGAAATAAATCTAAAACAAAGCTTACCAAAAAAAAAACAAAAAGTAAATAAATATAAAATTATAAGATTTAAAAAAAATAAGAAAAAGCTAATAAAAATAGAAAAAAATAAAAATAGATCAAAAAATATATAGAATTAAAAAAATTTTTGAATTAAGAAAAATTAAAAAAAAAACAGAGCTGAAAAATAAAAGAATTAAATCTAAAACAAAGCATAAGAAAAAAACAAAAAAATTAATAAATATAAAATTATAAGATTTAAAAAAAAATAAGAAAAAGCTAATAAAAATAAAAAAATTAAAAAAAATATATATAGAATTAAAAAAATTTTTGAATTAAAAAAAAATTAAAAATAAAACAAAGCTTAAAAATAAAGGAATTAAATCTAAAACAAAGCTTAACAAATGGAAATAAAATTAAAAAAAATTAAGATTTTATAACAAGAATAAAAAAAAGTTAAGAAAAATAAAAAAATAAAAAAATAAAAAAAATAATTAAAATATACAAAAAATTAAAAAGATTAAAAAACACGTTAAAAAAGTTGTTCCAATTAATGCACGAACTCCATCGAATCCAGTAGCTATAAAAAGGCTTGAGCCACATACTGAGTCTGCAATAGTAAATGGAGTTTCGATGTACTCGTAGATAGTAAAATAAATACCAAATAAAGCTGTAAAAATAATCTTTGGATAAAAAAATAAAAAAAAAACTAATAAAAAAATTAAATAAGATTTCAAAAACTAACATAAGAAGATAATTAAAATATAATTTAAAAATTAAACGCACATAGTAAAATTTCTTAAAGCATCATTATGTTTTGAAGTTCACAGTTCTGTTTTAATTTCTAAGTTTTCAATACCAAATTATTTATAAATAAAACAATGAAGACATGAAAAAATTTGTTTAAATTAATTGAAAAAAAAAAAAAACAATTTAAAAAATTAAAAATATTAAAAAAATTAAAAAAAATTAAAAAAAAATTAAAAAAGGAAGAAAAACTAAACAGAGTACAAAAATAAATTAATTGTTGGGAAAATTAATTTAAATGACTTTGGTGAAACTGAAAGTACCAAAGTAACTTTCTTAAAGTATCACGATGGGGATTTTATTATTATTTCATTGAAATTAATAATTTTTTAATACCAAATTTTTTACAAAGTTATATGTGAATATGGCGTATTATATACAATATATGCATATATGTAAATGCAAAAATAATTATTTCATATATATATATATATTCTCGTATGTTTACACATATATACAAATGTGTGTATATTTTTTGCTGCATGCATATTTTACTTACGCATTCATACCACAGCTGTCGTAATTGAGGTTAAGTATGCATTGGGTTGTTTATACATACATACCTATACCTGTGTATGAAGGGTTAAATTTATAGTTTACCTTTCGTGTTTTGTTGAATTTAAAGCTTAAAAGCTATATTGTAACCCCTTAAATCAACTCACATTCAACACAATTCCCTGGCAAATTTTTTTTGCGAATTTTTATTTTCGCGCATTTCTAGCATGACTCTCATATACCTATAAGAATTGCCTACTTTAGTACATATAGCATAGTATATATATGTATATGATGTTTGCATGCTCTCGTGTATATTTGTATATACGGCGTATGCCACTATTTAGACTTCCTTTTGTTTAAGTGCCCTACTACCGGCTGCCTGCTGCATTTGCTGCTTTCCTTCCTTTGCCTTACTTATTTTATTCCCCCCTTCTCTTTCTCTCTCACTGCCCATTGTTTTTATTGTCAGACATGTTTGTAGCATACATTTAGGGTACATTGCTGTGCATAAAATGATTTTAACGATTTAATTGCATACTTTTGGGTATTTAAGCGTATAACAAGCTTGCAGTTTTTATGTAGCGCAAGAATACTCCTTTATATGTATACATATTCATATAATATACGTGTATTTACTGTTAAGTGTGCTTAGTAAGTTAGGCGATGAATAAATAAGAAAATTAAAGCAAAAAAGTGGTGAAGATGAGTAACGTAGGGGGAAGAACAAGCTTACTTTTATAGCACGCCGTTTATAGCCAACGCGTGGGAAATTAGTCTATTTGCGCTTCACTTGCGGCTAAAGGCTTAATGCATAATTTTGCCGGCAATATAATATTTTTATTACCTTGAAACATTAAATAAGGCTTACGTATAATTTTTACAAACTTTTGATATTGAATATATTAACCTGACAATCAATTTTTTCGATTTCCGCTCCAATAAAATTATTTTTCAGAAATCTATATAATTTTATGCACGGGCTTTAAATTTTTACACTCACTTCCAGTGCCAGGGGTTGTTTCTGTTGCGTTTTTTGCATACTTTTAGGCGCGTCAATAAAATATATCCAATTTATCTACACCAGTCAATTCCAAATTGTAAAATTTTTTGTATGCATTCAGGTATGCAGATTAGAATAAAAATTCAAAAATATTCATTGAAAGCATTTTTATAAATTGGAAATTCGTGGAAAATCGTTCTCCACTGTATGAATTACTGAAAGTCGAAGTTCAGTGGAAATTGAAAAATAAGCTCTATAAAGTCGTGCTAATCGAGTGCGTAGCGAATGTTGTATTTTTTTGTAATGAATATATAAAATGAATTTAAATTCATTTGATAGTTGAAGGAATTCGAAAGAAGAAATTAGTTTGTTAATCCTTGGATGTTTTTGGGATCGCAATATTAATCAAGTGGAAAATTAAACCAACTTTCTGCTAGTTCAACTTTTTCCAGCATACATAACGCATATGATAAGTAAAAAGTGTTGAAAATTTCACATTTTTATCTGCCCATTTAGAAGAGTAACAACAAAAATAGCGTTTTTGAGTGCGTAATTGTATGACAGCCATTTGTTATAATCCACCGATTTTGATAATTTTCATTGTAAGTAATTATTTTATGAGCTCATTCAAGTGTAAAAAATTTCAACACTATAACTTTATGTTAAGCGTGATATTGAGCGAAAATCGCATTTTCGTGCGACTATTTGTGCGAATGCTAATTATTACAGTTATCCGTATATGACAATTTTCACATTATACTTTACATATGTGATACTTAAAATGTTTACAAAATTTGACATTCATAGCTACTATTTTGTGGGAGTTATAGCAAAAAATTTGGTTTTTGAGTGTTTAGTTGTATGGCAACCACCTGTTGTAATCGGCCGATATTTTTGATTTTCACTGTCAGCAATTCTGCTATAATCTTATGAAAGTGTACAAAATTTCAGCTATTTGTTCATACATTTGCTCAAGTAAGAAGCCAAAATTACGTTTTCGAGTGATGATTTGTATGAAACTTAACTTTTATAGTTATCCTTTTATATTAATTTTCATAGCACATTTATTGTTTATCGCAAGTAAATTGTACAGCAATTTTCACACTTCTAACTGCTTTTTTAAGGAAGTTATAGATCAAAATGTCATTTTTGAGTGAGCCAGTTATATGTTAGCCAATTGTTGTAGTCAACGGATTTTGATAATTTTCATTACACATTCTTCTTTTTTGTTCATTAAATAATGCGCTTATTTTCACGCACAAAGCGCTCTTTTTATGGAAGTTTTGATCATGTAACTAATTTCTGAAGTGTTTTCAAACAAAAATTGTTGAAAAAAAATTCTAAAAATAATTTTGGTTATAAAATCTTTAATTCACACAACACATTTTCCAATGATTTAAATATTTACTCAAACATTTCGATTTTTAAATTTATGTAATATGCCTGCAAGCTTAACATATTTGATTGCTCATTTTGAACTTCTTAAAAACACATACCAAACTCATTGGCATGCGAGACCGGTATTCAAAGGATGTGTTACATAAAAAATAAAGATTAAAACAATGAAATATTTATGGCTCACCTACTGATAATGTGCGGTAAAATAAATTGAAAACAAAAAGAAAGGAAAGGAAAAAATCAAATTAAACGCAGTAAAAGCAAAATTAAACTAAGCAAACAATCTGAAATGAGTTCTCGGAATTTTGCAAGCATTCCACAGACAATAATTGCAACTAGAAAATTCAATTACCTTTGCTGGTATATCAGTTCAATGTTTTCCATTACTTTCGTCTGCTTTGTGTAATTCTCCAGAGTTTTTCTTTGATTAACATCAAGGTCTTTTTTCTTGCACTTTAGACACATACACGCACACATACACAGAACCACAACGTAAGCTCAACACATCAAGAACAATTTTACATACAAATTCATTTCAATATTGATTGGTCTTCTCTCTCGCCCATCACAAAATCGCGCATTAAATATGTATGTGATTGCACACACGCGCTGCTTTTATAGCCTTTTGGCGCCTAACAGTGTGCTTTGCTTTTCACCAAAATAACACCAGCGCCATTGCCTCAACGCAAAATAGAAAAGCGTAAGCGTTAAAACGAAATTCAATTTATTTAAATCTGCGCGCAATTAGAGCACGTGATGTGTTAAGTGATATATGCCGTGCCTGCAACAAAAAAAAAAAATACAAATGAAAAAAAGAAAAAAAAACATGACGCCAAAATTTGAACATAGATATGCCGCATTCGCTTTTCAAAATGCTTGTGTATATATGTACATACCTAAGCCTTAATAACACCATTGACACTCAACATATGTTGCATGCTTTCTCTATTTGTTCGGTATTTGCGTGTTAGAAATTGATTGGTTTTTGTTCCTTTGTACTTTTTTCAATCTTATTTTATATTCTAATATTTTTTTTCCCATTATTTTGATGCTAAGCAGAAAATTGAATGACTTTAAAGCTCTAACAACCTGCGCGCCTTTATTTTCTATTTTTCAGAGTAAGAGCTTCAAATATCTCTAATTTATTTGTTGAGCTTCGTTGAACTTTCTTTTCTAGACTCAACGTTGTATTTCAGCGGAATTGAGCGATTTTAGGCATTGATACGCATTCCATGAACAGAATATCAAACAATTTTTCTGAGAATTAAATTTTTTATAACTTTTATGCTTTAATAATGGTATATTTTGATTAGTAACAAGTTTTTATATTAAATTTTTTTATTATAAAGATTTTTTAATCGTTTTTAGTTGATTTTTATTATATTTTAATTGCATTTTTTTCTATTTCCAGGTAAATTTTGTGCCCGAATTTCTGCCATAAATGGCGCCTAAAAGTATGCGTATGTAAAAAGACAGTTCTTAAGAAATTTTTTTAAATAAAATATTCCGTTAGAATTTTTTTATATAAACTGGGTGTCCTCGCTCATACATTGTTATGACTTTATACATAATTTCCATTTTTTAATCATCGGTAGTCTCATTTAGAACCAGAGAAAGAAGTTTGGGTGCCACACGAACTAACGCAAAAATGATGGACTGAATTTCCATCTGCGAATCGCTGCTGAATCGCAACTAAATCGTCCCGTCTCTGAAGCGGATTGTGACTGGCGATGAAAAATGGTTGACTTACGACAATATCGAGCGCAAACGTACGTGGTTAAGGATCGGGGAAGCGGCCCAGATGGAGACCAATACCGGATTGATGGCCAGAAAGGTTTTGCTGTTTGTTTGGGGGGATTGGCCCTATGGTCAAACGCTCATTTTGACCATCTATTGCCAACAAATGGATAGCTTCAAGGCAGCACTCACCCAGAAGAGGCCATCTTTGATCAACAGAGGCTGAACTGTGTTCCATCAGGACAACGCCAGGCCACACCCGTCTTTGGCGACGCGCCAGAAGCTCCAGAAGCTCGGGTGGGAAGTCCTAATGCACCCACCTCATATTCTGGACCTGGCACCAAGTGATTACCATCTTTTCCTGTCCATGGCGAACGCGCTCAATAATGAGAAGTTGGCCTCGAAAGAGCTCTCCGAGTTTTTTTTGCCAATAGGAACGTATCCTTCTATGAAAGGGGTATAATGAGGTTGGCATCTCGTTGGCCAGGACTCGAATCCTAAGTCGTTCGAGCAACACCAAAAATTATAGTAAATTAACTTGTCCAATTATTATTATCTTTGGCTTAGAGGAATAGGAGCTCGGCCGAAAATCATTTCACTGGTTGCACTTGACTATAATCGATTAAGCTTCTGCCAAGTATTCTTTTGCATCTGTATAAAGCTTTATGTGCATTTATCAAAATTCATCTTCCCGTCCGATCTTGGAATAAACCTCCAAAGATTTAGCTTTATATGTGAATATCCACAGCTCTATCCTAAAAGGATTAACAGCTAGACCGTTGCTCGCGTAGCACCACGTGTAATCTTCATAAGGTTGTCTCCGTAGTCTTACTGAATGTAAATGCCTTAAGTATAGCCAGTTAAATGAATAGAGTCTTGTTGGCTTCAATGTACTCAGTCATGTTCTTCAATGCAGGCGAACGTCTTCAATTTTGATGATCTTATATTTTGTTGTTTTTGCTTATGGCATGTCGGTATTTAAGACATAGCATGGCATTAACATTGACACGAGAGTGAGTTGTGTCGTCTGCTTAGCAATGAAAAGAGCTATTGTATTTACATAAGTACGCGTGTGTATGTATGTGTTTGTTTAGATAACATAACGATGTGACGCGTCCCAAAGCAAGCAGACACTTTGCAACTTCTATTGTCTTAAGTGTGGCAAGTAGCTGTAGCAGCAGCAGTACCAGCAGTAGTAGCAGGGGCTGTAAGTGTCGTGTTGCAGCATGACATAAATCAAGTTTATTTACTTGCTGCAATTTCACATTATTTGTTGTTGTTGTTGTTAATGTTGTCTTGCCATTTTAAGTAAGTGCAAGTCTGCGCTTCGTCTTGACTTTTCTTTTGCACCAGTATTTCCCTGCCCCTTGTGTCACTGTCGCTGTAGCTGTCATTATAAGCCGTCGCTCAAATCGCTCTGGCGCCTAAATGTAGACAGTAAAATTGCATACTTGACTTGCTTAGTGTTGTCCCTGGCGTTTTAGATAGCTCCCTAGGTACATTGCTTGTTTACTTTGCAGACTTTTCCTGCAGACTTACGCGATGTGCTGTTACCAGTCTGTGCCGTATTTTTTAATTTTGTACTTCTTTTACCTTTTAAACTTTGAATTTTATTTTACTTATCAATATTTACTCCTTGAACATTCTTGTAAGTATTTAACCTTCATTGGGCTCTTGCGCCGTTTTTGGAGATTGACTACCTCACAACTTTTTCCAAATAGAAGCACAAGAAGTGTGATATTTTTGGCACTGAGAAATAGCTCTCATATCAACTAGGGTCTTAAGAGCTAGATCTATTTGGATCTATAACAGAAACAGAGTTCTCAGTAAAAAAAAAAAATGAAAAATTGTGACTTTTGTCTCTTCTATTCAAGCTCAACCCAGTTACAGTAATTTTATTTTTTGCTGAAACGTCATTAGAATTTTAATGTTTTTATTTACCTCGCTTTGTGCATTTTATGATCCTTTCTATTTTAGTCAATAGTTTTGTTTATGAAATTTCTTTAAATCTCGGGATCTTAACAGCACAAATCTGATTTATATCTATGCTATGAACTTCTGACTTTTTACTCACCTGCCATTTACATTTGTCTGTATTTATGGCAGTATGATTAACTGTAGTTAACCTACTAATAGGACGCACTGTTGTAATTTTTTCTTCTTTATTTGTTCATGACTTTGCTTCGTTCGCATGACTAGCCATTTCTTCGTTTTGAATTGTAACACCGTCTCCTCTGTGATTGCTGGTTTCGTAACAGATTCCAGTTAACTAATCTTGCCGCCATTTTTCTTTGAAATTCTTTTCTTGTTAAGTTCGTTATTATATTATGTCGTCTTTTTTTGCTGTCACAAAGTCATGATTACAATGAGTTGACATGACTGTAACAGCGTAAAGTTTGTGTAGTCTCTTTATATGAAATTTGCGACAAACACGAAATGCCTGGATTAATATGGCATGAAATTTCGTGGTCATTTCGCTTATTACGCTACAAAAGCTTAAATATAACAAGCAAGTTGTGTAAATTAAGTTCGAAAGATTCACCTTTTTTACTTTCAAGGCGGTCTGGCAAGTTTAGTATGCAGTGCATGTGCATTTGTAAACTTACAAATTAAATTAGCGAAATCTTCAAAGCAAACTTTAAAATTGATTTTAACGAAATGTTGCCAACATTTAAGCGTGGTTTTCCATTTTTATCAAAGACACACACCACTTGCATTGCTTTTATTCATTTAACTTTAACAATTTGACTAATCTGCTGTAATCCTTTGAATTAAAAGCTTACCTGATTTAGCAATTAAATTACATACATACATTTATATGCATACTTTTGTTTGCTATCAGCTTACATACATACAGACTAAAGCTCACCGTTCAAGCAGCACATTTACTCTATGCAGGTAGTAACTTGTGATATTATTAATTTTTGCGAAAATTTCCTAAATTAGCAAACACATAAGCAGACATATATGTGTGCATAAGCGAAATACGGGATCTAACCAGAAATTTCGCAAACTTTGCCAACAACAAAATGCAATTTGTGCCGTGTGCGAGTAATCTAATCTAGTTATATATTAATAATAAGCACATACACAACTTAACTACAGGCCACACGCCGCATGCCGCATAGCAAATTGGATTGACTCAAAACTTCCACGGCATATGTGTGCGCGTGGGTGAATGTGTGCGGATCTCTCGTACCTGGTAAGGTGATGCCATTGACTGAGGAATGTCTGTAGAAATTTTGGCAAAGCTGAGAGCCTCAGTAGGAAAGTTTGCTTTAAAAATTTTTTATGGAAAGGTATCGGTTTCTTCGGTTTGTTTTCATATTTGTTTTCGTCATTTGGTCCACTACCTGCGAGTTCAATTCCGTTTTCTTCTTTACATATGGTTATGTAATTGTTTATTCTTCACCAAAATGTACGAAAAGCTTTCCAATAGTATACATGTAGTTTTTGAATTAAAAATAAAAATGCGAAGTAAAAACTCTTATAATTTTATAAAACTTTGGCTGATTTGGGAAATTTAAATAAAAAAATTAATGATTAAATAAATATATTATTTATAAATAAAAAAATAAAAATTGACTATCTAAATAAATGAATAAATAGATAATTAAATAATTAAATAAATAAAAAATAGATAAATATAAAATTAAATATGTAACTAAACAAATAAAGAAATAGTGAATAAATAAATAAGTATATAAATATTTGAATGAATAAATTAATAAATAAAAAGTAAATAAATAAGAAATAAAATAAATAAATAGCTTATTGATAAAAGAGAAATAAATATAAACAAATAAATAATTAAAAATTTGACTAACTAAATAAATCAATAATCAGATAATTAAATAATTAAATTAATAGAAATTAGATAAATATAAAAATAAAAATGTAAATAAATAATAAAATGCTAAATATATAAATAAATAAATAAATGAGTAAAGGATATTTGAATAAATAAATAAATAAATAAGAAATAACTAACTAGATAAATGAATAAATAGGTAGTTAAATAAATAATAATTAAATAAATATATAAATATATGAATGACCAAATTAATAAATAGATATATAATAAACAAAAAGTAAATGAATTAAAAAATTAAATGTACAATTGAATAAATAAATAAATAAATTATTGATTAATAAAGAAAAAAATAGATAAATATATAAATAAATAAAGAATATATAACTGAAAAATATGTAGATATTAATAAACAAAAAATATAAAATAATAAATAGATATTTAAATAAATAAATAAATAAAAACTTAAAAAATATATAAGTAAGAAATAATTTAATTGAAATATAAATATATGAATACATAAATAAATAAGTAAACAAATTAATAAATATATAAATTAAGGAATAAATTAATAAATAAATAATTAAAATATAATTAAATAACTAAAACAAAAATGGAAATATACAAATAAATTTTATATGAATAAAACCAGAAAAATTTTTTATTGCGCAATATAAGTAAA